AAAAAGAAAAAAAAAAGGAGTATATATACACAAGGGAAGATTATTCAGCCACAAAAAGGAATAAAATCCTATGATTTGCAGCAACATGAATGGAACAGGAGGTCATTATGTAAAGCGAAATAAGGCAAGCACAGAGAGACAAATATGGCACTGTCTCACTCATATGTGGGAGCTAAAAAAGTGAATCTCACGAAGATGGAGAATAGACTGGTGGTTATAAGAGGCTGGGGGCCAGGGGACGAAACGAGGTTAATGGGTACAAAAATACAGTTAAGAAAGGAGAAATAAGATCCAGCATAAGATCAGTAGGGTGACTAGAGTAAATAATACTCTACTGTATATTTCATAACCAGCTAGAAAAGGAGAATTCAAATATTCCCAGCATAAAGAAAAGATAAATGTTTAAGGTGATGGATATCCCAATTACCTCGGTTTGATCATACCCTATACGAATGTATCAAAAATTACATGCACCCCAAAAGTATGCACATGTATTTTGATACATCTTTGTATCAAATGATACATCTATTATGTATCAAGAAAAACCTTTTTTTTAAAAATTCAGAGTTACAGGCTACTTTCCTTGCTATTCATGCAGAAAGGCAGCATCATCACCTAGGAACTTATTACAAATGCAGGCTATCTCAGGCACCATCCATACCCAGTGAATCAAAACCTGCATTTTGCCAAGATTTCTGCATTATTTCTATGTGCATTAAAAATCTGAGAAGCACCATGCCAGACAACTTCCCAATTTAGTTGCTTTTACAGTTATATTGCACTCCTATATATATTCAGTAAGTATAATTTTTTATTTGGGGAAATTCATACTATACTATCTCCTTTTATCCTAAATATCTGAAAATAAAAAAAATAAGGTTGGAGTTAAATCAATGTGATAAAATGTCATTTGAAAGTTAACACAATATTTTAAAAACCTAAGAGATGTTCAGAGGTAATATACTATCCTTTTATGTAATTAAATGATTTATTTGTCCCATTTAATAGTCTTACCTATGCTATTTTCACATTTCCTCCTTTAAGCATACTAACTTTATATATAATTTATAATTTATGTTTTAAAGTGGAGTGTGGTGGTATATACCTGTAATCCTAGCTGAAGTGGGAGAATTGCTTGAGCCCAAGAAGTCCAAGACCAGCCTGGGTAACACAGCAAGACCTTGTTTTT